GGGGGGGGGGAGGTGTTTATAGGCAGCTATGAGTGATTTTAGGTTACACAACGCATATTGTTGATGCGTTATGTTTCACGTGCAAAACAATTCTTTACGGTACAAGTCTGTGCAGTTTTTTCAGGTCGACGTGACAATACACATAACGCATATCATTGATGCGTTATGTTTTCGCGTGCTAATGATTCTTTACGGTACAAGTCGATGCAGCTTTTTCAGGTTAACAACTTTTTCAGGTAGACATGACAATACACATAATGCATATTATTAATGCGTGGTTCGCATGCTAATCATTATTTACGGTACAAGTTCGTGCAACTTTTTCAGGTCGATAGCTTTTTCAAGTCAACTTGACAATACACATAACACATATTATTGATGCGATATGTTTAACGTATAAGTTCGTGCAGTTTAGTTCTTTCTAAGTTGAACCAACATTCTAGTTTTCAAAAACACAATTTATCCCGTAACGACCCGACCGGTCATTTTGAGAATTAGAGCCCTCATCCCCTAATATTTGTTTTCCCTATATTTGTTTCTGCTTTTGGGACTTGTCGGAGTGATTGGTTATGGAATTCAGAGAGTTTTGGGACACTTAGTCCCTAGTTATGAGTTTAAGCCTTAGAGTTTGGACCGTAATTGAAAATGTGTGAAGACGGATCCGAAATGGAATTCAGTCGACTCCGTTGAGTGATTTTGGGGTTAGGAGCGCATCCGGAATGTGTTTTGGGGGTCTGTAGTAGATTTAGGCTTGAATTGGCGGAAGTTAGTTTTTCGCCAATTTCGGCCGATAGTGAAAATTTTGATATCGAGCTCGGAATGGAATTCCGAAAGTGATTGTAGGTTCATAGTGTCATTTGTGACATGTGTGTAAATTTTGAGGTCATTCGGACTAGATTTAACGTGTTTCGGCGTCGTTTGTAGAACTTGGAAAATTTTAAATTCTTAGGCTTTGAATATGTGCTTAATTCATGATTTTGGTGTTGTTAGACGTGGTTTGAAGGCTCAACTAAGTTCGTATGGTGTTTTGGGATTGGTTGGTATATTTGGTTGAGGTCCCGAGGGCCTCGGTGTATTTCATATGCTTAACGGGTGAAAGCTTGGACTTAGAGGAATTTTTTATTTTTGCTAGTTCTGGTGTTTTCGCACCTGCGGTGGGGAGTCCGCAGGTGCGTCCTCGCAGAAGGGAGGCTTGGATCGCAGGTGCGCTTTTAGGCCGGGGAGTCAGTGGTCGCAGATGCGACGAGTGAGCCGCAGGAGCGGAGCCGCATCTGCGAGCCTCTGGTGCTCATATTTAACTTGCTGACAATTTAGACACCTAGCCACATACTCAACTATGTCCTTTTTTGTTACAACCCATGTTTTCGTACGTACGAGTACGTCGTAAGTCAATTGATGTAAGCTCAGAAATAAAATCATATTTGAAAAATTTACAAAGTAAGTTAATCATGTTACCTCGGAGGTTACAAATATTAAAGATCATGAACAACAAGTACAAAGATGGTTAGAAGGTTCAAAAGCTAAAGGAATTGAAAAACATAATGTTTCATCGAAAATTGACAAATTGGGAATGTTATAGCATGTACTTTTGG